AATATATATCATAAAAATATATATATTATATATATATATATATATATATATATATATATATATATATATGAAGCGGTTCAGAGATCAGTGTGCTGATGTTTCCTGCGCTACAGCAAACTCTGCTCCAGTCTGTTATTCCGGTGGATTGGGTTTGACTCTAGTGTAAGCCATTCAACGCTTCTGTACAAAGGCTGTGAACATCAAAGGACCCGCGAGAGAACAGCGAGCTGTGAAACTCTCGACCTGAAGGAGTTTCAGAACAGCTGCAGGACTGAGAAATGCAACTCTATCCAGCTCTGTTTGCCTGGTTCTGTTCCCGCGGGTCAGAGAGACGCACCCGAGCTCTCAGTGACACGACTGAACTGAAACTCAAGCCCGGCTTTAATTAAGAGACATTTAATGTAAGTAATACTTCACAGTAAGCTCAGGTCACAGGCCACATCCAGCTTCACATACACAGCAAACGCGAAAAAACAACTCACAACTCAACAATCAGCTCTGCTCCAGTTCAGCTCATGAATGAGAATTTGAACTGAATCGGCCAAAGCACAGGAAGCTGAACGAGAATGAGAATAACAGGAAAATGAACCTATTCAATTAGAATTAAAATTCAGATGATGAAAGTAAGTGTTCTTCCACCCTAGAGATCGAACTATCTATCTATCTATCTATCTATCTATCATCCAGCCGTCTATCATTCATCATTCATCCATCCATCTAACCATCTATCCATCCAATTATCCATCCATCCATTCAATCATCCATCCATCAATCCATTCATCTAGCCATTCATCAATCTATTCATCTATCCGTCCATCCATCTAGCCATTCATCATCCATCCATCCAATCATCCATCCATTGATCCATCCATCCATCTATCCAGCCACTCATCAATCCATCCATCCAGCCACTCATCAATCCATCCATCCATCTATCTAGCCATTCATCATCCATCCATCTATCCAGCCAATCATCAAGTCATTCATCCAGCCACTCATCAATCCATCCATCCATCTATCCAGCCACTCATCAATCCATCTATCCAGCCACTCATCAATCCATCCATTCAGCCACTCATCAATCCATTCATCCATCCATCTAGCCATTCATCAATCCATTCATCTATCCGTCCATCCATCTAGCCATTCATCTTCCATCCATCCAATCATCCATCCATTGATCCATCCATCCATCTATCCAGCCACTCATCAATCCATCCATCCATCTATCTAGCCATTCATCATTCATCCATCCATCTATCTAGCCATTCATCATCCATCCATCCATCCATCCAGCCACTCATCAATCCATTCATCCATCCATCCATCCATCTAGCCATTGATCCATTCATCCAACCATCCATCTAGCCATTCATCATCCATCCATACATTTTTCTAGCCATTCATCATTCATCTATCTATCCAATCATCCATCCATCCATCCCTCCATCCAATAATCCATCCATCCATTGATCCATTTATTTATTGATCAATTCATTCATCCATCCATCCATCCATCAATCCATTCATTCAGCCATCCAGCCAGTCATTATCCATCCATAAACATATCTATCTAGCCATCCATCCATTCATTCATTATCCACCCGTCCGTCTATCTATCTATCTATCTATCTATCTATCTATCTATCTAGCCATTCATCATTCATCTATCTATCCAATCATCCATCCATCCATCCCTCCATCCAATAATCCATCCATCCATTGATCCATTTATTTATTGATCAATTCATTCATCCATCCATCCATCCATCAATCCATTCATTCAGCCATCCAGCCAGTCATTATCCATCCATAAACATATCTATCTAGCCATCCATCCATTCATTCATTATCCACCCGTCCGTCTATCTATCTATCTATCTATCTATCTATCTATCTATCTATCTATCTATCTATCTGCAGTCCTTTCAGTGATATTCACAGTACTTTCATGAACGCAGGAGAGTTTGTGGCATGTGTTTAGGTCACACTTCTTGCAGGCAAACAAATGTTGAGATTCAAGGCTACAGAGAGGCCGAAATGGCGCTCGCCCACGTCTGTACCTGCTGTGTCTCTGACAAACAAACCCACTCATATTCTAATGCAGTTTCATCACATGCTCTAATGCCATCCTGCGGCTGTGACCCGATGCCCCGCTGCAGGTTTATAGCGCTCAGGACAATTAAACGCTGCTAGCCAGAGGCCAAAGTCTCAAATGAAATTGTTAAATCCCCCATGATGCACTAATGAGGAAGAGGATAAGGCTCACTTCCTGTGTCAACAGGTCTGTTTTGAGCAGGACGGCATGAGTGCGTGTTTCTAATGCTGAACAGGACATGCTATACAGATATGAAAGATCTGAAAGATTACAACACAATAAGGTCAGAACAAGATGTACTGAAACAAGCAAAACTGTTCTGAAACAGACATTGCTTTTGATCTTTATGATACTGAAATAAAACTTGTAAGTACAAATTTATGCAAGTGTTTATGCTTTTATAATGTTCAAAGGAATATTTCACCCAAAAATGAATATTTGCAGAAAATATGCTCACCCTTGCTTGATCTGTGCAGATTTATCTCCTGATTCAGACCAGATTACTTTTTCACTGGAGGAAGGGTTATTTTAGCCGGAAGTAACAGTTTTAAAATTAAAAATGTCTTAATGATAGATTTGTTTCAGCTTTTGTCTTCTCCAGATGTTCACTGATGGGCTGGAGTGCTGTGGATTACTTGTGGATTATTGTGATGTTTTTATCAGCTGTTTGGCTCTCATTCTGACGGCACCCATTCACTGCAGAGCATCCATTGCTGAGACAGTGATGCAATGCTACATTTCTCCAAATCTGATGAAAAAACAAACTCATCTATCTTGGATGGCCTGAAGGATTTTCCTTTTTGTGTGAACTATTCCTTTAAGATGACACAAAGTAGCCAGGATCACAACACACGGTTCAGTGTAAGTCTATCTGCCAATGTCATTTCATACATACTGAATTGCATTTGTATTTAACCTGAAGTGATGCAATTAGGTTAATTTGGTTTCCTTATCATTTACACACTGTCATGTCTTTCCAAACCTGTCAATGACACCAGAAGTAATTAGTTCTCGTGTCCTGTGACCAATTGAAACACAGTGGAAGGAGATTTGAGAGCTCAGATTTTCAGCAAATGATTATTTATTATACAGTATGATAAATATATAGTGCACAAGTCAAATAAACTACTTTATAATACTTTTTTGGAGCTTGACGGCATCTGTCCTCATGTACTTTGAGTAAACTATTGTTTTAATGAGTTCTAAACCACCAGATGATTTCTGACAGATGCACCTGCTGATGTTTAATGTAATGACCGGTTCTGCTTTAATCGCAGTCTATTCAGAGGAAAAACTGCATTAGAGAAACAAACATGTGCTGCCCGTGGCGTAAACCGGTTGTGTCATAACGTTCTGCACCTTTATGAGCTCGCTGATGTGTGAGATGTTTGATGACGTCAGTTTGCCCCCCGTATGTTCAGTGGTGACGCTCTAAACTCGCTCTCTGTGCTTCTATTCCTAAATCTGTCTGTCGAAGCCCAAGGGACGATTCCTTCCGCCCCAGTCCCCATCACTTATTCATGGATACAGTCCACGATGAACTTTTGAACATTGGGAAAATGTATCATAAATGTTTATAGATAGGTAGATGATAGACAGATAGATAGATAGATAGATAGATAGATAGATAGATAGATAGATAGATAGATAGATAGGTAGATAGATAGATAGATAGATAGATAGATAGATAGATAGATAGATAGATAGATAGATAGATAGATAGATAGATAGATAGATAGATAATTTATAGAGCTCTATAAAATTAAATTTATTTATTTATTTTTTCTGCATTCTGTATTATGGTTTAATTTACATTTAATTCTCAAAAAGGTACCTAATCAACTGAATAGAAATAAAAAAAATCAATAATTTATTAAAATCTTAACACTAATAGTGCCACATGAAATTAATGTATTTATTTATTTATCTATCAGAAATTCAGAAATTAATTTAATTCTTCTGGAAATTCTGTGTTTTATTATTTAATACCAGTGTTTTTGGTATCAGTGAGATGCTATTATAGTTTTTATTAAGATTTTCAATTGCATTTTATTTTTATGTTTTCTGCTTTCATTGTAATGTTAGTTAAAGGTTTAGTAATTTTGCTGTTTTTGTTAGTTTTTATTTTTTTCTTAAATATGTCTATAGTTTTCATTATTTATTATTTCAGTTTTAGTTTTAGTTATTTTAGACCATCAAGTTAAATAAAATGAAAAATGAGAAATGATGCCTTGGCAACTAGCTGAAATTAATACATTTAAGTTTTTTTGTCATTTTAATTTCTTTCAGCTATTTTGATTTATTTAATTTATTTTTATTCAACTATAATAACCCTGTTTAATACAAATGTATTGTTCAAAACACTGACAACCATATGAATGCATAAAACTTTAATTTTAACTTTTAAAAGAAAAATAAATCCTTTAAAAATTTAATCAAATAAAATTTGAACAATTTCATGTCAAAGGCTTATTAATAATAAATGCAAAACAAATCACTGTCAAAATGTCCATTTGACCAGACCAGAACATTCAAGTTAAATGAAAACCAGATTTACTCACTCAAGAAATTGTTTACAATGAAAACTCATGAATGTTTTGACTTTTATTATTCAATTTAAAGCATGTATTATAGTCAACTACTGAGCCATTTTATAGTTTGCATTTTAATTACTTGCATTTGTTAAAGTTGGTGGTTAATTTTGAACCCTGAATTTAAATGCACAGGAATAAAGTAAGACATATACTCACTTTGTGGAGTCGGTGAAGTAAATCACAAGTGCTCCGATGCTCAGAGCAAAGACAAGCACCACCTGAAACACACAAGACAACAAAACACGTCTGTTACTTTAAATGAAACAGTGACATGCTGTCAATTAGCACTGTTTATAAATGCAAACACTTCTTTAAACGCTCAGCTCGTTTGTGCGTGCGTGCGTGCGTGTGTGTGTGTGTGTGTGTGTGTGTGATTCCAGCTGAACTGGGACGTCGTTCTCATTAGTCAGAACGTCCTGCTGGCAGAAACCCATTTTAGTCGAAAGATCCTGATGAGATTTGGGCAGGAATTGGATGCTGTGTAAACATCAAGCCACTGAGGACAGGGGAAAAAACACTAAAAACCATCAGATCTCTCATCCAGCTTTAAAGGAACGGTTCAGAGCAAAGGAACTTTCTGTCATCATTCGCTCATGTCCTTCCAAATCTGTCTCGCTTTGTTTCGTGGAACACAAAAAGAGATGTTTAGTAGAATCTTCATGCTGCTCAATCCCCAAAAGAGACATAAAACACCGTAACTGTATCATAAAAAATCTTCTGAAGCCACATAATAGCTTTGTGTGAGAAGCTTTATCTTGATAGTAAATCAAGTATGTTTTATTAATAATTACATAAATATATGTAATACTATTCAAAAGTTTACAGTTAGTAATATTTTGTTTTTAAGAAATTAAGACTTTTATTTAGCAAGGATGCGTTATATTGATCAAAAGTGACATTTATAATGTTAAAAAAGATTTCTATCTCAAATAAATGCTGTTCTTTTGATCTTTCTAATCATCTGTGAATACTAAAAAATAAAATGCATCACGATTTACACAAAAATATTGTGCAGCACGACTGTTTTCAACATTGCTAATAATCAGAAATGTTTCTCGAGCAGCAGATCAGCATATTATACTGATTTCTGAAGATCATGTGACGCTGAAGACTGGAGGAATGATGCTGAAAATACAGCTGCGCATCACAGAAATAAATTAGAGTTTAACAGATATTCACATAGAAAACAGCTGTTGTGAATTCTAATAATATTCCACAATATTACTGTTTTTACTGTATTTTTGATCAAATAAATGCAGCCTTGATGAGCAGAAAATATGTTTTTTATATCATACTAACCCAAATGTTTTTGAATGGTAGTGTATACTTAATAATAATAATAATAATATATAACATTTATTATTATTAATAATAATGATTTTATTATTATTATTATAATTTGCTTAATGATTGTTTTTATTAGACTCATTATATACTTATCATTATTCTTTATATTAATATTAAAAAGCTGTGGAAATGCAAAACCAGCTTGATATGGCATATCTCAGATCTGTATGAAGAAAGCCATTCAGGTTTGGAGCAACATGAGGGTGAATAAATAATGATCATTATCTCTTGAGAATCGAACCCATCAGAGAGCAGGTCGCAGTAAAGCGATCGTGAGCAAACAGGTGTGTGGATGTGGAGGAAACACAGCTGACCTACTCTTCCTCTCGCTGCGAGTCTCTCATGCATTTTGAATGAGCAGCTACAGTAGATTATTTTCCATGAGGGGAAATGCTATTGTCTGTAAACCATTGAATCACTCATACTGAGAAAACTCCTGCATGTATTTTTAATGGCCACTCACACGCGGGAGCATCCCGCTGCTGAGTCCCAGTCAAAACATGCCGTTAAACGGCTGATTTTAGGAGACGCTCGGCCCGTCTGGAGTCTGATTCATGCACACTCATGCTTTGACACATCTGTTTCCATGGTAATGGGCGGCCCTTCGGCCCGTGTGACCAGCAGAGGGAGTAGCTGATGCTCACAAACAACACAACAAACCCACAGGTTCAGCGTGAGTTCAGCCACAACAGATTCATCCACTGATCCACACAAACCTGACATGAGCGAATATATATTATTACACACTGTAATTATCAATATTATTTCAAATTACATTTGATAATAATTAATATTATAAGTAACTGTGGTTATATTGAAAGTATATTATAAATCAAATATATCTGTATTGGTTCAGAATACACCTCATGTAATAGTTAGTTATATATATACACATTTTATATACAGTATATATGTTTTTTGTATCATTGAGATACTATTTTCGTTTTTTTTTATATATATATATTCTAATATTTATTAATATATCTTACGTAATATATTATATTTTAATATTAGTTCAATTGTAGCAATTTAGTTTTCATTATATTAGTACATCAAGCTCAACTAAATGAAAATGAGAAATGAAATAAAATAAGTTTAAGGGTTTTTTACATTTTATTTTATTTCAAGTAAAGGAAACTTTTTTATGATTTTAGTTTTGGTTAGCACTTGTGGAAATGTTCAAGAATTTAAAATTAAATATTAATTACCTATTAAATGATTACAATTTAAAACATTAATAGTAATGGTGGTAATATTAATAGTATATTATAAATCAGAAATATTAATAGTAATATTAATGATAAACAATAATTTATATAATATATAAAAATCTAAATAATGAACATATAATAATCTAATATTTATAATATAAATATTTATTATAATAATAATCCAAATTTAATTTAATAATCGAAATAAATAATAGAGATATATATCTATCTATAGATAGATAGATAGATAGATAGATGGACAATGCAACATGTTTGATAACTTGTCTATACAGAAATTGACTTGACTGTGACAACTAGCCCCAGTGACCCCTTTAAAGTATCAAATCTGAATCAAGTGCATGTGAATAATTGAGGATTCGACTGGCCTGATGTGATGTATAATGCAGGAGTGAGTTGTGTGTCTAACATGAGATCTAATCTGCTGTCTGAAAGTGAAACTCAGTGTGATTTCTAATCGCTGACTGACTGACAGCAGAAGAGGAGAGGAGCCGATGGCAGCGTTTACTACAGCTGCAGGGGTCAGAGGTCAGCCCTCATTTCATGACCCGTCTGAGCCGGCGCTTTAGAAAACCGACTCCAGACTGCATAAGGGTCACTCACAGCCCGTCACATACAGTATACTGGATAAAATATGATAGAAACACGAGCTTACACAATGATAACAGATCTTCTTAAAGGGGTCTAATGCTATTTCATGCATTCGGAGTTATTTACACTGTTTAAGAGTTGGATTCTCTCAAACATGGCCAAAGTTTCAAAAAACGAGTTGGACTTATGACGGAGTATTTCTGTGCTGCCAAATGCACTCCTTCCGGGTTCATATAAGTTTCGGAAAGTTTTTTTCAAGTACGGCCCTTCATGACGTCGTTTCAGTGACGGATGTTTTAGAAACAAGGCCCAGTTCAACACTGGATTTGCACATCGTCTGATATTGAAAGATGGAGCGGTCTCAGCGATAAAAGATCCCGGTCATGAGCTGGAACCTCAGGCAGTGAGTAAAACTGCATCAAGCTTCTGTGTTTTGTTGGCAATCGGCGCATAAGTGCTCGTGACTCTTTAGCTCCGCCCACGACACGCCTCCAAGAGCTCGGCTGTTTTCAGAGGGAAGCGTAAAGCTGTATCTTTCTTTAAGAAATCTGATCAAATCAGAGACTCTTCGAAGATATGAAGGATGCAGTGCTACTCTATAGATACTCGAGATTAACATGAGACTGGCAGAAACTGTGTTACACGTCTCCTTTGAAGGATAACTGTGGATTTGAAATCGTTTCACTAGTTTTAATACTTATATACACAAACATATAGGCAATTATCAATATGATTTAAAAATAAATATTAATTTTAATAATTAAATATTTACAGTTGAATAATTAATATTAATAGTAATATTACCGTTAATAGAATATTATATAATATAAGTTAATATATAGTTTAAGAGCTCAGTGTTACAAAACAGAAAAGACCCTTATCGGTTCAGAATGCACCTTGTTAATAATTAATATTAATAGTAATATTAATGATAAATTATATAATTTATAAAATGATATAAATATAAATTCTTTATATATTATTGTATTACTTAGTATATACATTACATTATTTAAAATTATTTTTTAAGTTATATATATATATATATATATATATATATGTATATGATAACAAGTCAGAAAACACAACGACAAATCAGACAAACCGGAAGAGGAAGGTATAGTTTGAGACAGCGCCATTGGTTTGGGATTACTCACCGCTGACTGGACGAGACATCTGTCAATCAACATATACAGGGTGTTTATTTACATTTAGTTAAAAGCGGCTGTAAATCATCAGCTCCAGTGGTGCAGAGGGATAAGTGCTTGACGTTGGCTTTTTGACGCGATCGACCCGGGTTCGATCTCACCTTTTGCCAAACTTTTTTTTCTCACTTTTCAAATCTCGTATCACATCGTAAAGGCATTTATTTTCAATAAAAAATTAAGGAAATAATCAAAAAGTTGAAAATAAACTATCGGGGAGGGTTAGGGTAGGTGTAGGGAGGGCTTTATTGTACCAATAAGGTGGCATCCATGTAATAATTTTAATTATAATTTAGACTCAATACGTTATTATTGCATACTGTTTTATAATGCACTACAATACTGAAGTGCAGATAATTGCCACTATTTGCAACAAGTAGTATACTTGATAGTAGAAATCCTGCTATTTTAACATAGTATAAATAGCATATTGCTAAACATACTGCTATTTTCACTTAGTGTAAATAGAATTTATTGCTAATACGAGATTTGAAAAGGGAGGAAAAAAAAGTTCGGCAAAAGGAGGGATCGAACCTGTGTCGATCGCGTCAAAAAGCCAACGACTAGCGCTTATCCATCTGCACCACTGGAGCTGATGAGTTACAGCCACTTTTAACTAAATGTAAATAGACACCCTGTATACGGTGATTGGCAGATATCTCGTCCAGTCAGCGGTGAGTAATCCCAAACCAATGGTGCTGTCTCAAACTATACCTTCCTCTTCCGGTTTGTCTGATTTGTCGTTGTGCTTTCTGACTTGTTATAATGTTTTCTGAATTGTTGTTGTGCTTTCTGAATTGTTATTTTGTTTTTTAGACTTGCATTTGCGTTTGTAATTTGTTATTT